GGGGCGGGGCGGGGGGGGGAGCAGGGAGAGGTGAGAGTGTTTCCAGTCCAGCCATCTCAAATGAGGGACAAGCACCTCTTGCTGCTTCCCTGGCACAAGCTACAGGGACACCACTGTCATGCAAGACACACTCAACACTCCACGACATTCACTGCTATGTCCGACATGCGTCCTGACGGCAATGACCACCTAAATCTAGCTCTTCCAGTGGACAGCTGGCAAGGGATAGAGGCGAGTCTAGGCGAGTCTAGTGTTCCCCCTGTGAGTAAGGATAGCTGAGTAAATGCAGTGAGCAGGGCAGGGCTTCTTCCCGCATCCCAAAATCGGGCCCAAATACTGACAATTGTGAATGAAAGAAATTCACTGGCCCCCAATCAAGTGGGAGAAACCGCTTGGTAAACCAAAGGCAGCATTCGAGAGGAAGAACCCTGGCCAGCCTTCCCAAAGCCCAGCCCACACCCTGCTCCGAAGGCCTGAGAGGGCCAGGGACACCTATAAATCAAATCATGCTTCAATAGAATAGGTTGTTGCTATTAAAATTTGTATAACCGATGCACTGTGCATCAACCCTTCTTTGTAAAGCACTTGTGCACTGTTTTGGTAAATCTAGATTTTTACACATCCTATTTCTTTAAAACCCACAGGCACACTTGTGTATGGATGTCCTTCCTCTTGCTAGAGTGAGCTGTGACCCCAAACACCCCAGGACAGCTCACTCGGCCTCAGCTCCTAGACTCACCGACCTGTGTCTCCTGCCTCTGTGCATGCTTCAGGTGGTCCCACTACCTGAAAAGCTCTTCACCCTCTTCTCCATCCGCCACATCCACTGTCCATCAGAGCCCCCAGTTCCATGGCCCCTCCCTCAGGGAGCCCTGGCCCTTCAGGCAGAGCAGACTGTGGCCTCCTGGGACCCCCGCAGCTGTGACCTGGTCTTCTAGTAACACACTTTCCAAGTCTCAGCTGCGATGCCATCCGCGGGGACTGTAGGCTCTCTGAGGGCACTGCCGTGCCAGGGGGCCACTCAGAGCAGTAAGGACACACGATTCCGAACGGAAAACCTAGCGCTTCCTTCCACAGGATCTTGGGCAAATTCGAATTCGCTCTTCTGAGGCTCAATCTATCCCTCTACAAAGTAGGTGCAATAATTCAAAAGTCCCAGGGCCACTGGCAGAATTAAACGAAACAATATATGTGAAATGTAACTTGCAAACTGCAAAGCCCTACACAAGGTCCAGTGAGGACAGTGATATTTGTATTAATTAGTATGCCAATATTAATATCCTCACACACATCCCTTCACCAACACCTATCATTGTGCCTTGCAGGCACCCAAAATGACTGTCGACGGAATCCCAGATTCTCTGTTCATTCTAGATGCAATAAAAAACACGGGTGCCAGAGGTGGACGAGGAGGCCCTGCCGGCAGCTACAACAGCAACCTTGGAGTTAGTTAGTTTTCCCTTGAAGCTTTTCTGTAAATGATGACCCAGAGGGTACAGCGCGGCCCAGCAGAGTGGAGGTTCTTAGCCACCTGCCAGCAGGACAGAGCCTCCCAGAGTGTAGGCTGTCCACAGGATTGTAGCAGGAGAAAAATGTAAGTACCAAACCATGCATGTCTCCCAGAGTGAGCTTTCTGATGTGAAAATCCCTTTCAGGGAGATGAAGCAACTTCCAGAGGTCTCACTCTACCCGCTGCGTTGGGGTGGGACCACCCATGGCTCATAGGTACAAGGGTCCATGGACATGGCTCCCCAGCAAGGTGACTAGAGTCTTCAGGGGGATCACCAGATTTCAGGTTGGAAAAGAACTCACACAAACACCTTCTCCATCCATCTCCGTGTACCTGTGAAGACTTGCTCTCTCTAAACCAGGCCCCTCTCCTTGGTGGGCTTTCTAACCTGGGACCTCGCCTGAGATTTGTGGCACCCAAGAGATGGGCAGAGAGGGTACAAGTAGCCTCATTAGAGGGCAAGTGACTCGCCCAAGGTCATCATCTGAGCTCTCTGACTCCGTCATCTTGAGATGACAGAAGATTATGCCTGGAAAAAAAATATGCCTAAGCTTCAGTAGTGGTTATTTCTTCGTTGTCAAGTTTGGGGTGATTTTTATTCTTACCCCCCAATCTGTTCTGTGTTCCAAGTTTACTATACTCAACAATTACTATTCTCAAAAGCAGAGAAGCCTATTGTTATCTAAAGGCTGAAACACAGAGATCAACGATGCAAACTTTCCATTAAATATTCATTCAGTCGTGTGTGACTTTTTAAAACATGGTAGAGCTGGAAGTGACGCAGATTAGGCACAAAGGTTTTCTGGGTGGGATCTTCCCTCTCTGGTTTCCGCCCCAGAGGAGAAGGAAAAGGGGGTGACTGCGGGGCTTCCTGCCTCCCAGCCCAGGCCTGAGACTCCCAGACCGTCAGACAGGCTGTTTAATATGCCCCGTAGGCCCCGATAATAAACTCAGTTCTAATAAACAATCCTGTTCCAATCGGCCTTAATAACCATCACTTCTCAAGAATACTTCCAGCTTTACCCAGAATGGCAATGACATTAACCCATCCAACTATTTCTTTTGTTTCGTCAAAAACTATTTCAGCACCTACTCATTGCAAGGCATCATGTCAGACACTGAGCCATCGCTAACCTAAGATTGGAAAAACAACCAACCAGAGGCTACGCGTCATCCTTCTGTGTTCTGCCCAAGCTTAGGGTTTCAGCTGCGCTAAAACAGCAACAGGAATGTGAACAAATGCCGCCTGAATGTGACGCCTGCCTAATTCCAGCATCTCCACGGCTCTGCCTGTGCCCCGCCTTCCCCAGCCCTTAGGAAAAGCAGGGTCCCAGAACCAGTCCCCGCTGAGGAGGCTGGTAGCTCACCTGTACTGTGTTAAGGGACCTGCACTGCATCCTACTTAGCAGAGGAAGAGACGATGGGGAGGGTACATGAGCAAACCCCAAGCGTGGCAACCGCCCAATTCCTCTCTCCGCGGCCCCCTCCCACTTTACCTCTTCCCCTTCCTGTCCTTTTTGAGGCAGAGAAGATCAACTTCAATTAACATGTATTGAGAGCCTACTAGGTGCAGAGCCCCAGAGTCAAACAATTTTGTACATAAGAACTTAGACCTTTGCTTTGTACGTGTTCTTCCCTCTGCCTGGAAACTACTTCCTCGCCCTTACTCATGGTGACCACTTAAATGTCACCTCCTCAGAGAAGCTCTTACCCAGGTAAGAACGTCTTAACGTTCCATGGCAACTGTAACTGCTTGTATGCTTGCTGTTTCTCTCCCCAGCTGGACGCCGCTCGGTGAGGGCCGCTCCCTGCACAGTGGCTGGCACAAAGGTGCGTAAACACCTCTTTCTTGGATAAAGTAAATGGCCTGGAAGGTAATAACAAAAGCCGGTGTTTACTGAGCGCGTACTATGTGCCAGGTGCTGCGCGGACCTCCAGGCAGATGTCAGGTCATGACAGTCGCATGACAGCCGCATGACAGCCACACTACCGCCACTCCCATCTTACAGGTGAAGGAAACTGCATCGTTTTCCCCCTATTTTTAAAGAATGGGAACTAGAACCTGGTAAGCAACCTGCCAAGGGATAATCAAAGAGCAAGGATTTGAACTGCATCTTCTAAACCTCTCTCTAGGTCACCACACTGCTTAGCTCCTTATGTCCCTCTCTCCCGATGCCACCAGTGGCCATTTTTGTCCCTTTCCTGAATTTTTGGCCTCCTCTCCCAAGGCGCCCAGTTCAGAAGACTTCCCCAACTCCTCCCTTCACATCCTACACCCGTCAGCTCCCACACCTGTCCTCAGCTGAGCTTCGGCAGAGGTCTTGTGAAAAGACCTCTAGCCTTTCAGCCCCAAGCACGGCGACTAGAGCAGCTGCGTAACTGCTGCCAGCCAGACACGCAGCTGAGCAGGCAGGTAGAGCAGGCACCCCCTCAGTGAACCCACGTGGGATCCAGTAGTTAAACCCGGCTCTCTGTGCTCCGGCTCCCGCTGTCCCACTCTGTCCCCACTCCCCTCTGCCTGTCTTTACAGCGCTGCTGAGCACGAGCACATGGATGATGGACGGCCACCACAGCTCTCAAATGGGAAAGGGGCCGCCCACGTCCATTCCAGATCTGTGGCAGGAGAAGTCAGCGCGGACCCATGGGACCCAGGAAGAACTTGGGTTCCAGGGCAGCAGGGCCCATGTGCAGCCAGCCGGCAGGCCCGTTTGAGAGTAGACACCATTACAACGGTGGGCTCCAGAGGCCTGTCCTGGGTCACGCGAGGTCGCGAAGACCAGAAGCTGCTGGAAGAGGAGAAGGGAAAGGCAGCAAGGGCTGAAAAGAACGCCAGTGACCTGGGGGAACGCGACAGAGGGGGAGGCCGGCTCTTGGAGTTCTCTGCAGGAATGGAGGAGCGAGATGATCATAAAGCCCTGTAGTGCACGGCCGAGGATGTCATTTATGAAATTTTCAGGGCTCCCTGTTGGCCACACCGGAGTCAATTTCAAACGCCTAGCAGGGCCTTCAGAGGTCTTTCATGCCCAGGCCCACCACAGCCACACCTGGGAGGCCAGGTATTTCTGCCCAGGGGCTCCTCTGCCTAGAACACCCTCCTCTTCCTCCAGGAGCCTCAGCCTTCACAGCACAGGACAGTGTGCTTCTAGGAAGACTTCTGGGACACCCTGGGGTTAACGGGGGAAGAACACAGGCTCTGAGGTCAGACCCTCTGGTTCAAAGCTCAGCTCCACCAGCCAGCCTTGCCTTTAACCTCCTAGGCTGCCTCCATGGCAAAGCGTGAGGGGAACTGTTCCCACCTCACTGGGTGGTGGGAGGATGAAACGCATTATTCCATGAAAGCACTTTGCACTGTGCCTGGCACACCGTAAGTGCTTGATAAACAAGCTGTTGTTCCTATTGTCCTCCAGCCCCTTTAGGGCCCTCTGTTTCTACCACAAGCAGAGCACTGTCTGGCACATATCTGCTGCACTCTGGACTCCCTCCGCCAATCGTGGCCTTTCAGAAGGCACGACATGACACACGATGCACGACTGAGGCCTTTCTTCGCAGGCCTAGCACCGTGCCGGGCATACAGGTCTTCTGTGAGCACTCAGTGCCTGGAAAGGTCCTGCGGTAGACCCCACACAGAGCTCTCCCAGGGCGCAGCTGCCGGCCTTCCCAACTCACACACCACATCCCCAGTCTAAAGGCCCCGCAGAGCCAGAAGGGCATTCGCTGTTACTCGGTTTCAAAACAATGAAGGGCTGTGCTCTGCCTTACGGAGGCTGTTTCCACTCCAGGGAATTTCTGGGGAGAAATGAGCACAGCAGGGACTGGAAATAGCACTGAGCCCCTCTCGAGGACAGAGCTGGGCTGGCCCACCAGAAACCAGGAGCAAAATCTCAAAGGCAGAGGGGAGAAAGCAGCCTCCCGGCAAAAGACCGAGCGCCGGAGAACTTGGCCAGCACAAGTAAACTAGGACAAGATCACTGGCATCCACTGTGCCTTGAAGCTCTTCTTCCTACCCACCTGGAGAGCTTTAGAAGGGGTTCCTTGTATAACCCACCATCACGTGGGAACAACTTACTACAGATCCAGAATCCCAAGCACTGCTCGAAGGGGCCCCAGGTTGCTCGTGGTTCTCAGGGGGAAAGTCACAGTGCCTTCTCAACCCACACTGGCTATCAGGACCTCATATCTGGATCGGGGTCACTGTCTATGTCCATCTCTCCAGCAGACTAGGAGCCCCTAGAGGCTGGGCACTGGCCCCATTCATCTTCAGACTCCTATGCTCCTAGCATGGTGCCTGGCACGTAGTAGATACTCAGTAAGTTACAAGGCAGCAAGGCACAGCAGCAAGAGAAAGGTCCTGGTTCAAGGATGACTCCGTCCAGGCCCGCCATGTACCACGGACAAGTGAGTCTCCGTTTCCTCATTGGTGAACAGGGATAACAAGTTCTATACCACACAACCGCTGAAAGAATCGACTAGGAAACCACATGTGGAAAGCACCAAAGCAGCAGACGAATGCCATTCACCCTTCGGGCTTCAGCTCAGCTGTTCTCTCACGTCACGTCTCTTCTGCGGGCCACAGTGCCCTCTCCCAGCCCTGAACCCGCTCTGCACTCCCTTTATTGTTTTATATTTTTCACATCTTTGTGATTACTTGTTTCTAAGTTTGATTCCCTCACTGACCTGAGAGGACCTGGATACAGAAGCATCATGTGTTCGTGTCCAAGGCCTGATGAAATGGGCACTGGGGCCTGGCTGCTGGGACCCTCCCACCCCATGGCCCCAGTTCTGATATGCACAGCACCCTCTGACAAGAAGAACTGGTGTGCAGAGCTTCCCACAGAGCATGCTGAAAAGGGAGATGGGAAGGGCTGCTGCAAACAGAACCTGTGAAGGAAGTCTCAACTCCTGCGCCTCCTCTGCAGGCGCAGGTGAGCTTGTTTGCCTGGCTGACTCCACAGAGCAAGGGCCTCCAGGGCACAGATTGCTGTTTCTTGCCTTGCATAAAGCACCTGGCAGTCAGATAAATAATACATGGCCTTCGCCTCACACACAAGTATCAGGCGTGCAAACACTTGCTTTGCACCACGGTGCCCTGTGTGCTTACGTGTGCATGCGTGCACGTGTGTGTGTGCATGCGTGCACGTGTGTGTGTGCATGTGTGTGTGTGTGTGTGTAATGCCTGGCCTTGCACAGCAAGGGGGGTATGGATTGGGAACAGATACCCCTGTTCACCTCCAACCCCACTGCCTTTCCATGGCCTACAGCCAACGAGCTCTAGACTCAAGCAGTGCACCCAGGGAAGAAATGTACAACCCAGAGGACAGATACACACACCCTAAACTCGTCTATGTTCTCTTTCGAGATAAATGTCCTTGGGAGTCCCAGGTTCCTGATGGTGCCTCTCCAAATAGCTGACATGTATGCAAGGCATGCACACTCTCCATGCAAGCATCCCCAAAGGCCTCGCCAGGCCAACCACCCTTCCAGATCATAGCCATCCGCACAAGGCACGGATGCCTCCCCCACTAACTCGGCGGTGCCAAGCGCCAGCACACCCACCGGGCGCACACAATCCCACTTGCAAAGAGCCTGTCCATCCGCCTCCTCTCTCCCCTTGCCACCCCCACGGGCAGGTCCGATTACACTCCAGGCGCGGGCGCCGCCACGTTGGCGAGGAGGGGGCCAGGGCACACCCACGGGCGACCCCGCAGGACGGGCAGGGGGCGCAGGGCGGGATGGGCGGGCTGGTGGATGCTACCTCCCTGCTCAGCCAGGCCTGCTGCCTTCGCCCCTCTCCCACCCAGGAATCCGCGGTCAACGTGACCCACAGGGCACCCCACGGACGGGCCTCTCCAAAACCGAGCAGCCCCCCGCCTTCAGGAGCCCGCAGCCGCCCCCCTCAGGGCCTCTGGCGCGAGGCTGGCCGAGTGGGTACCTCAAGAGCCCATGGCGGCGGCGGCGGCTGTGGCGGGGGCG